TTTTTTTTTTTAATTTATACATCTATCAGTGGCTGAAAGGTTAAAGCTACTGAACTGATAGTTCATTCTAGGTTTGATTCTTGATGCCTATAAAGTTACTTCAGATATATGTCATAATTAGAATGATATAATCTAATCTCTACACTTTTTTTTTTTTTTTTTTTTTTCCAGTACAGAAATTTTCCACAGCTTTAATCAAGCTCTTTCTTCCATACTAAAGTTATTACAAATTTAATGTGAATTAAAGGAATTCATAAAATATCTATTAAACATCAATTTAAAAAAATGCTACAAAAGTTGCATATAACTGCTATATTCTGATTAAAAAATTAGCTACTAGCACAAGTATTGAGTTGGTAAGTAAGTAATTTTGATTTCCACAAATAGGTATAATATATATAATGGTATTATTCTGTCAATCTTATTATTATTATTTTCTTTTGAGATTTGACAGCTGACACTTTTAGGTTGCTATAGAAATAAATTTTGGATATTTTTGTTTACAATTGTTAGTTTACAGTCAATTTTAACATGGAGTGCAAAAATAAACATTTCTGACATATTTAACTTTTTTATTTTCATAAAAAGGGCAAGAAATAGCTGAGACTGACAAAGAGATATTTGAAATTTATTATGTGTTTGTTGCTTAATAAAATGCACGCATCAGAATTGGTTTAAAAGATTTTGTTCTGGAGATTTTTTACTTGAAGTTGACCGAAGTTGATGATGAAAAAAATTAAAGCCATAATTGAATCGGATAATCATATAATTGTTCAAGAGACTGAAAAAAGGTTAAATGTATCATACACAAGAATTGAAAATCACATAAAATGTTCTGGACTCATTAAGAAGCTTGATATTTGGTTTCTCCATGAATTAAAAAAAAATTAACTTATCACATCAATATTTGTGATAAGCATTTCAAACGTAATGCAAATCAACCCCTTTTTAAAGTAAATTATAAATAGTGATGAAAAACTGATTATCTACAATAACAGTAATCGTAAAAGATTGCGGTCCAAGCATGGTGAATTAGTACAAATCATAACAAAACCTAAATTGCATCAGAAAATGTTTATGCTGTTAATTTGGTGGGATTACAAAGGCGTGTAGTTTGAGCTGTTTTCAAGAAGAAAAAAAAAAAAAAAAAGATTGGAGGTTTTTTACCAAGAACTTGAAACTGGTGGAAGCAATTAAAAAGAGAAAAATGTAGAGGAATCATATTTCACCACCACAATGCGGGAACTTGCATATTTTTAGCAACACATACAAAATTACTGGAACTTGATTTGAAAGTGATGCCACATCTCCCATACAGCCCTGACCTTGCACCACCAGATTATCATTCATTTTAAAGTTTAAAACACATTTTAAATGGTAAAAAATTCAGTAATAAAGATGACCTCAAATCATGCAAGGTTGAGTTTTTTGCTGATAATGACCTGAAGTTCTATGAGCATGGAATCATGAAGTTAACATAAAGATGACAAAAGGTCATTGAACAGAATGCAAAAAAATCAAAATTACTTTCTTGCCAACTCAATAAAATATATCAAAATATGACGATTAACTTGAAAGTAGAACATTAAATTTCATTCAGACAGCATACACTTTTTGAATATTCTTAGCATTCAGTATATATACTAAAGGATCAAACAGGATCCACAGATATCCAGGACGGAAGAGGCAAGACATACATGCCAATCTTATACATACTCAACTATCCTTTTTTTTTTGCATGTATGATTATTTTAATAAGTAATTCTCAAATACAATCCAAGTTTTTTATGGTTAAATAAAATGACTACTGAATCCTGATGAATGTGCTTCCTAATTTTTCTCAATATTTTGTAGTCTTTTCTGTTCAATGCACCACAGAATTAACATTTCATAGTAAAATTTAATGTAAAAAAAAAAAGGGGGGGGCAATGTTTTGACAGAACACATTTCTGAAGTACTAAGTAATTTAATACTACACATACCCGACTGTTCCTAATCTACAAGATTTCTTTTGTACCTTTTTAAATCATAAAGCAAAATTCTGAGATACCGAGTAGTGTTTGCTGTGACTACTACTGTTTGTAAGAGATTTTACAATACTTTTAATGAATCTGAAATATCTCAATAAAAATTATTCATGACAATAAAAGCGTTAAAATTTTTAATCTAGCAACTATTGACATTTTCTGCTAGAATATTCAACTTAAAAATTTCAAATTTAATACTTCAATTAAAAGCAATATTTCAAACATATTATTAAATTTTCTCCTAAATGCAAGCCATCAATTTTTAAAGAAGGGAAAGAGTGTCTTAGTGATGGTGAAACATTAGATGGTGTCTTCTCTTGACACTCTCTTACACTGTAAATTAACATTTACACTGTATAGGGAAAACTATGGAAATTCAACACAATCTTTTTTAATATAAATATTGGAATACAAATTTGGACTATTATTCAGTGATCATCTTTTTTATTCCACTCATGATATTCTTCAGCATAATTTACTTTTGATACTTTATTGCAGCCATCAAGTTCCTCATAACTGACTTTTTTTCATACACAGAATAAATTCAACACACACTCATTCTCTTGACCTATTTTATAATATTCGCTAACTTTAAAATGTTTGCATTAGTCCATGTCATATGTTATAAATAAATTGCAATATTTAACTTTCATGATGATATAATTTTTTTTTTTTTTTGCAAGTCTGTCTCTTCCCTGCACCTTCAACTAGTATATATATCATTCAGTGATTGTATGCTCAACTTGCACACTACAAAATGACAAAAAACATATTTCCAACTTGTTCTCAGACCCATACGTCTGGTCTAAAAGTTTATGCAATGTGTGTGCAGCAAATGGCAGTTTCTGGGTTTTTCTCTAATTGAGAGATTCACGGCTTTAAACAGCCCTGAATCTTCAACAGAGAGTGCCATAAGCAGTCTTCATTTATTCACATACATAGCTTATTAAATACAACATAATGATTTAAAAATAAAGAACTGAATTCTTATTTCGATAATTTTCATTTCCCACCTACACTACTCAGGTACTGTTTTCTAGCCTGCTAAATAAGCACATTGATTAATTTTATATTTTACGATTTTCTGAATCAAATAAATAAATAAGCTGTGTGGAATTAAACTTATATAAAGCTAACTCGAACAGTTTTTCATGGGAATATATTCAAAATTCTCAAATCATTGTACATTTTCAATGGTAATTATTGAGTATACTCATTCCAGACCCATAATTTTTAACACACAGGAAGCATACAATTCGTAAACTGGCTTATATTTATGTAATACTTCTCGAAGAAACTTTGGAATACGCAGAGCATTTTATAACCTACTAAATTTGTACCTTAATTTTAGAATTCCAAGATATTTATTTAGTAATATAAAATTTTTTTAAAAAAGAGATAAAAATGCAAATTTATGAGTAATAAATAAAACTTATTAATAAAAGTTTCATTAAAAAGCATATGCAATTGATAGCTTCAGATTTTAAATCTTGATATTAACCAAGCTAGACTTATAGATTTATTTTTTTATTCACTAAGTCTGTAGCTATTTTGTGAATTCTCCCATAATAATTAAATTATCTTTAAGATCAGTGTCATGTAATACACAAAAAGAGAGACAAACTTTACAAACATCAAACAAACTTTAAATTTTTTTCAGCTACAAAAAAGCAACAAAAATATAACATACCTAATTTTATAAATATTTTCCGTCAATTCATTAAGATATAGCGTGTAACAAAAAATAAAAGTTATTTTTTTGTCTTTTGATTTTAATACAGCATGTGGCTCAGGAATTTGTAAACACAAGAATAAAAACTTAAAGGTTTTTAAAGATTACAATTTACTTACTGTTTTAAAAGCTAGTATTTAAAGGACAGTAAAAAGAAAGATGCATGAAATATGCAGTATGTTCTGACAGATAACTAACTATAATATACTAATTCATCAATTCTACCAGAAATTCAATAAATTTACATATATTCAAAATCTTTATCTACCATAATACAGATTTACTTATTTGAACAATTACATAATAAAGATTATCTTACACATTGCCAGACCTTACAACATGTTCAGTCACACATAACATTAAACAAATGCATTTTAACAAACCATACACAGAAGTATACTTACCTGTCATTCACGGTAAATGTTCACAAATATTCTTCTACTGAAACAGACTTACACAGTTGTTATTAATGTATGAAAAATGTTGCCAAACAAGCTATGAATATGTGTTATTGTGAAAATTTAAAATTTATTGAAAATTACACACGGGACAGTGTTTTAGTAACTAGATAACTAATTCATTCAATATACCAAATTTGGGAGAAAACATAATGTGCAATGGTTTTTGTAAAAGTGTTTACTTTTTTGTATAAAAATTATCAGAATTACCATTTATACTTTTTCATGAAAACCTTTAAATTCTAACATAACAGCATGCTGACATGCCATAAAATAACTTGAATAAATTAATAATGAGAAGAAAACTGGCTCACTATGGTGGGGGGGGCAAAGGAAATGAATGTGTATAATCAAGAAATAAAGAAAAGATAAATATATCTTCTATTCCAAATTATTTATAATGCTTTGCTTTTAAGCGACAAGAAACATGTTGCACACATCTAAGCACATTTTATAATATAATCTTATTACAAAGTTTATCCAGGATATTGAATTATCTGTATTGTAATCCAAATAAAGCATGCATTCTCATAATTATACTTGGCATTGATTAATGGAAATGATATAAAGTTTTAAAGGAACACTGTGCAGAATTATTTACAGCACCAGCAACATATATGATTTAAATTATGAAAAAGCAAACATTCAGTGTATAAAACATTAGTTGAGCTACAAAGAAGCCAATAAGACATTATGTGATCAAATCACATGATTCAAAAGTATCTACACACTGAGAAATATTACATTATGCCAGCTCTAAACATATCGCTGAGAATTATTAGATCATACTGGCATATTTTTCCCAATTAGAGGTTGCACAATTAAAGAAGCACAGGAACCACCGCCAAGATGAATTAACAGATGGGCACTCAACTTCTCTTTGCTGTTAAAATTCTTCCCACACTGTGTACATGTATAAGGTAATTTTCCATCATGAGTTCTCATATGAATATTTAATTTACCTTTTGTGGTAAAAGCTTTTGAACACTGACCACAGATGTAAGGTCGCTCTCCTGTATGAATGCGAATATGTGCAGTAAGCTTGTCATTACGGGCAAAAGCTTTTCCACAGTGTTTGCAAACAAAAGGCCTTTCTCCAGTATGACTACGAATGTGAACAGTGAGCTTGTCCTTCTGAGCATATGCTTTCCCACAGTGCTTACATACAAATGGACGTTCTCCAGTATGCACACGTACATGGTTAGTGAGTTTATCTTTCCAAACAAATCCTTTACCACAATGTGGGCAATTATATGGATATTTCCCTGAATGCGTATAGGAATGGGATGTTAACTTATCATTTCGAGCAAATGCTTTACCACATGTTTTGCATACAAATGGGCACTCACCAGTATGAATTCTCACATGAGCAGTTAATTTATCATTGCGGGCAAATGCCTTGCCACAATGTTTGCACACATATGGCCTCTCACCTGTATGAATTCTTATGTGAACAGTCAATTTATCATTTTGTGCAAAAGCTTTCCCACAATGTTTACACACAAACGGCCTTTCTCCTGTGTGTGTTCTAATATGATTCGTTAATTTATCCTTCCAAGCAAATCCTTTATTACAATGTGGACACGTGAAGGGATGTAAACCTGTATGAATATATGTATGTGCAACTAACTTGTCTTTTCTAGTGAATCCCTTTCCACATTGAGTACACACATAAGGACACTCTCCTGTATGTATTCGTACATGAGCTGTCAATTTATCTTTTCTTGTAAAGTTTTTCCCACAGTAGGTACAAATATGAGGACTTTCACCTGTATGCAGTTTAATATGATCATTCAACTTGTCTTTTCGAGTGAAGCTTTTCTCACAATATGTGCAAGTAAATAAATTTTTTAGATCTTGATTATTATTGCTGACATTATAATGTTCAGCTTTGACATCTACAAAATATATGTGACAATGCTGACAGATATTATGTGGTTGACAAGATGGTATATTTAAATTCACAACATTGGCCATTGTTTCTTAGTTTAGTGTATTAAATAACATAAGAATATTTGTAACTGACCCTGCCAAAGGAAGAGATAATGATCATTCTTGATGACCCTTTATAACAATATTTTGGTAAAATACCTTAAGAGGTATTTAAAATAAATATTTCCTCTATAAGAACCTAATGTACTTTTCCCCCACCTTTAGATCATTGCCTCCAAGAAGAATCTATTTTCTTTTAGGAACCTGTTGCTCCAAGTTTCACATTCAATCAGAAATGGAGAAATGAGACATTTTTCTGAAAATAGAAGGGATGAAAAATGTCAGAAGTTAAAGTAGTATTAACAAAATTTACTGAATATAACTAGAATTTATTCACGTAGAGCCCTAAAAAAGTACTGATAAGAAATCACTGTCTCACAGAATTTTGTCAAAATTGAAAGAACGCGTTTTGATAAGAAAAATTAGAAAGCTTGTTTGAACATGTCAATTTCCCATGCAAATTAGAGATTAATGAAACTTAGTTCAGAAGAATTATGAAAAAGTGGACAGAAATGAAGAAGAGTTAAGATACTTTTGTTAGAGAAATAAATGATACTGTTCGATTGATTTTTATGTCTTTTCATGACACTACATAGCCTCTTTAGAATTTTATATTCAAAACGTACTTTTAAGCAAATTAATGTCAAAATAAGAATTTTTTCCCATAACATATCTGCATATTATTATTTTGGACAGAACATATTTTTTCTTTGCAATTTATATAAATTTTTTCAATGATTTAACAATATCCTACACTGAATTTTGAATATAAACAATGCTATACAATTAGTCAAGGACTTAAAGCTAAGAGTTGCTAATTGCAAACAAACAGTTTTAACTACCTATTTTTATCTACTATATGTATTCATGATGGAACGCACAGACTGCCTATGAAAGATTAAACAGCACACACCATTTTTACATTAACAATTGCAACAAAATGTGTCAGAGACATGAATTACGGTTTCAGCCATTCAGATTATACACTATTGCTAAATTTTTAAACAAATATTTTATAACATCAAAAATAAATTTGTTCATTTATATTTTTACCAATATATTATGCCAATTTTCATCATTTTTATTATGAATTACATTTTGTGGATCATTCTAATTCAAAATACTTGTAACTATTATGTTTTAGCACACTGATTTGAAATTATTTACAAAATAATAATAAAATAAGTTTGTTTTCCAATCTATTTATATATACTGATTCTGTGCAAACTATGTTTTGAACAAAAGAAAAAGAGGCATTTTATGATTGATTCATTTATTTTTTTACATACACATACAGCTTGCAACACAGTTCAAAGGTGTACAAGCAAACAAAGTTTAACTGTAACTATAAGTAACAGGATATTATCAATATTAAAAAGATAAATTCATAACAAATTTTTAAAAGCTAATGAATAAATGATCTCTTCTTTTTCTTTCTTTTTTTTAATCAGTAAATGTTTTGAAGCTAGAAGCATTTGTAAATTTTTCTTCTTAAAGCTTTGCAATCCAATTATCCTTAAACCTCCCCTTCTAACTTTCTTAACATTCACACATTTAATTTCATTCAAGAGTAAGAGCTTTTCTTTCTTTTACAAGAGGAAAAAGGGACAGGAGAGGTTACAAAACCTACAAGAGCCTCATTAGTCCCCCCCTCCTCCCAAAAATGAATGCAGACTTTTTTTATACTAACGAACCTTCAGTCACAAATTATATTTACAAAAATATCAATGCAAAAAAACTAAATGCATAATAAGCAATCTTTTTGATTCATATATTAATCAGCGTGGATATATGGGAGGTAGGGAATGTTAAATAAAGTTGTGCATCACAGGTAAATTTTTAATTCTAGATAGAGTAGAATAAAATAAATTCTGGAACCACTTAATTTCATTAAACCAATTTATTAATCTTAATGGTAACAGCATAACAAAAAAGGCGCTTGGCAATTTACATAAGATCAGAGAATATTGGCCTAGCTGCTATGAGGCACAGTTACCTCTGGACCCATGTATGATGAAAGGGGATTCTCAAAAGCATATAATGATTTTAATTCAAAGCCGCCATCCTATCTCCACATACACCTTTAAAGCTACATCTTCCAAGAGAGCTTCAAATTAATTTGAATAAGTTTGGATAGTCATCATCAAGTGTAGAGATCTACTACATGGGATTGAAAATATCTCATGAAACCCCTCACAAACCGAATGCAGCGCATTTTAATTATGTAAAATATCTATACATAGATAAAGTATTCTGTAGAATTATTGTGGAGGAGGCGCAGCAACCATAGGTTTTGTGTCTGGTGCTGGCAACATGGGTGGTCCAGGTAATGTTAATTCTGGAATTTTAGTAAGAAGTGGTTTTGTTACAAGAGCTGCACAGGAACCCCCACCAAGATGAATCAACAAGTGAGCATTAAGTTTGTCTTTTCGATTGAAGCCTTTTCCACATTGGTTACAAGTATAAGGATGCTTCCCAGTATGAATTCGCATGTGTGTATTAAGTTTTCCTTTCATGGCAAAAGCCTTTCCACAATGAACACACACATAAGGTCTTTCTCCTGTGTGCATACGTACATGGGCTGTCAGCTTATCATTTCGCGCAAAAGCTTTGCCACAGTGTTTGCAAACAAAAGGCCTCTCTCCCGTGTGAATGCGCACGTGGACAGTCAGTTTGTCTTTCTGTGCAAACGCTTTAGCACAATGTTTGCAGACGAATGGACGCTCACCCGTATGTATGCGTATATGATTTGTTAGCTTGTCTTTCCAGGCAAATCCTTTTCCACAGTGTTGGCAATTATAAGGATGTTCACCAGTATGTATACACATATGAGCACCTAGTTTATCTTTACGAGCAAATGCTTTACCACAATGTTTACAAACATAAGGACGTTCACCAGTGTGAATTCGAATGTGAGTTGTAAGCTTATCATTTTGGGCAAAGGTTTTCCCACAGTATTTACACACGAAAGGGCGTTCCCCTGTATGTATCCTTATGTGGTTTGTAAGTTTATCTTTCCAAGCAAATCCTTTACCACAATGCTGACAATGATACGGATGCAATCCTGTATGAACATACATATGGGCCCCAAGTTTGTCCTTCCTTGTATAACCCTTACTGCACAAATTACAAACATAAGGCCTCTCACCAGTGTGTATCCGAATATGGGCATTGAGCTGATCTTTGCGTGCAAAAGCTTTATTACAATGGCTACAGACATGGGGACATTCACCAGAATGCATTCGTAAGTGATTGCCAAGTTTATCTTTACGTGTAAAGCTTTTATCACATTGGTTACATGCAAAAGGCCTTTGTTCTTGTGCAGTCTGCGTATATAACTGGTGTGTTTTTATGTCCACAAAATACACACGACAATGTTCACAGTCGGTGTGGGGTTGTGTAGTTGGAATGTGGAGGCTCGTTATATCTGCCATATTTACAGCCATTTCAACACCTATGGAGGGATTTTTCAACATTGGTTACAATACAAAAATTACCACAATAACAATAACAATAAAAAAAAAATAATAAAAAAAAAAAAAACACTAAATTATTTACTTTAGATACATAAACTTAACATAAAGGAAATTCTATCCACTAAGCAGTGGAAATTCATAAAAGTTGCACTTAGTAATGAATATTCACAGAACTGATTTAGAAAGTAAACAAATAATAAATGAATCAAAGAGGTAAATGGCACATAATTTTAGAGATAATTACTTAATTAAAATAATGCAACAAAATATTTACAAGTGTTAATATTTCTAGACAAAGTAAAATGATAGCAATGTCACACTATTTCAAAGAATTGCCGTCACAGATATTACCACTGTGGTACATTTCAAAGCACTTCCATATTAGCTGCATTTACAACATGAGTTACATTTCAGTTCTACACTTTTTTTTTTTTTCAGTCAGTAAGAGAGCATTTTTTACCTTTTCACAGGAAAAAGTATTTTTCACTCATCTATTTTCAAATTCTAAATTTTTCCCAATGACTTTGATCAGTCACTGTTGAACAGTTCATTTCCAAACTGGAAAAGAAATGAAAAATTTCATGAAAAGCAGGAACATTTTTAATCACAAATATTTAGATGAGAGGACATTGATAATCAAAACATTAAACATCACACATACACTGGTCTGGCATAACTAACATAGTATTCAGTTATACAAGGAAATAAAAGAGACAAATAAATGCTAAGATAAATTAAAAAAAAAAAAAAAAAAAAAAAAAAACTTACACATTAATTATTGTACTAACTTTTAAACCATTAAACTGATTTTCAAATTAAAATTTAGATTTTATACCACATAAATACATCCATAACTATGCTTGGACACCTACATACTTCAAATGCAGAAAGAGTTAACAGTACTAATATATAAATCAATGAAAATGAATGTTATGATAGACATATGTAGACATACTATTTTCAAATTTTTAATGGACTGTGTGTCAACAAGATACACATTTTAAACCAATATTTCACAAACCATTTTAGTATACCTATTAGGCAGAAGCATAAGTATTACTAAAATATTCCCAATCAACTTTTACCTTGTCATTTCTTCTCACAAGCACTTTAAACTCTGGTTTATGTATGAGCGCAATTTTAAAATTTTAATTCCAATTCTTAATTATTTTGCTGGAAATATATGGAAAAAATATTCTTAAATACTAAGTTTTAGAATATATATAAAATAACAAATTTTAAAATTTTGTTAATTTATATTAGGTATCATATTTTTATTAAATGTATGGATTACTCAATTTAAGTGCAATTTTTAATTACCTTAACAATTTCTAAATTTTTTGGTCAGTGTTATATGTTACAAATAATGCATAATGTACAATTATAACTTGTAACATATGTTATTAAAGATCTGTTAAGTTTTAATCAATCATGTAGTATACTAGTGCACCACTGATAACAATTCCTTTCTTACACCCCAACAATAAAAATTATGAACACCATATGCTAGAAATAACTTACATTAATAACAAAAAATATTACAAGTTAACTTTTTTAACCTTACATAACTTGTAACATATGACATTACAGCATTACTTTTAACTCTTAGCTAATTCTGTGGTGCCCCATTCATAATTTTTTTACTATCTTAATAACAAGCATTAGGACCTTTAATATATTTTATACCTCCCTATTCTCATCTCAAGTGACTATGGATGACAAAAACCAGAAGAGTTAAAACTACACTTTTTTACAATTTTGGTGTTCCCAATGCATGAAGTGGCAATTTTTTTTTTTCCCAACAAATTGTAAACAGTCTTTTAATACTTGTAAAAGAATAGATAACCATTTCATGCCTAAAATCCTAGTAATTCATGTATAAAGATTACTATGACAATGTAAGCAAGATATGTTGTAAACAAAAAAGAACAGAATTTTCACATCCAGTTTTTATTATTAGGGGCGTTAAGTTTGTATTGTAACTTTATTTTGCAGTTCTAAACTAATTATTCATTTCAGGTAATGTTTCGCTCTGGCTTAAAAACATTAGAAACTTAATTTTGGTGCACTTTTGTTTCACTTGAGCTCAAAATACTAACTTTTTAAGATATATATATATAAATATTTCATAAGAAACTAAAAGTAAAGTTAAATAAATTATAAAAATTTCTCTAGCGCCATTGCTGCAGGGAATTCTGAATTTAAATGATATTGCAAATTAATTCGCAGTAACAATTAATCTTTCATTTGTATACAATTGCATTTTCATAATTTAAAATTTAAATTAGCTTTATATAATAGAGAATATTTGTTTGATACACAACTAGTAGTATGGCTCATAAAAACACTTGAGAGTTTTTTTTTTTTTAAAGTGTTCAAATTTTCTTTTGATTAGAAACTCAGTGTGATTATGTAAGTATATGTAAATGAAAATCAGAATCAAAAACAACAAATTAGTGTTAAACAAGCCTTTATTGAAGGTATCTCTACATTAGGATGAAATTATGAATGATATCACCAAATAATACACATAAATTTTGACACATAAGCTGTTAAGAACAGACATTTCTGACATTTTTTTAAACACTGCTGATACACTATAATCTGCAACCCACATTATTTATATTTAAATTATAAGATAAAATCAAGCAATAAAAATGCCTCATACAGATTTTCCAAGCAAAGAGTGTACAATAAGAGCAGCATGAGTGCTCTCAGTTATATGAATCAATATATGAGTGCTCAATTTATCTTTGCAATTGAATCCAGCACCACAATGATTACACACAAAAGGATATTTAACATCATGAATAAGAAGGTGTGAATTGAGCTTATCTTTTGAATCTAACAGAAGGCCACAATGTATGCATTTGAAAGAAGGCTTTCCTGCATGAGTTTTTGAATGTAAATTGAGTTTACCTTTGGTAGCAAAGGCTTTCCCACACTGCCCACATGCAAATGGTCTCTCACCAGTATGAGTTCGAATATGAGCAGTCAGCTTATCATTTCTGGCAAAAGATTTACTGCAATGCTTGCACACGTATGGCCGCTCACCTGTATGTGATCGAGTATGAACTGTTAGCTTATCTTTTTTAGAAAAAGCTTTTCCACAATGCTGACATACAAATGGACATTCCCCAGTATGTATTCTGAAATGTGTGGTGAGTTTATCTTTCTGAGTAAAACCTTTTCCACACATTTTACATACATAGGGTCGTTCTCCGGTATGAATCCGGGTATGGACAGTTAACTTATCTTTCTGGGCAAATCCTTTGCCACAGTGTTTACATTTAAAAGGTCGCTCACCAGTGTGAATTCGAGTATGAGTTACTAACTTATCATTCTGAGCAAATCCTTTGCCACATTCTTTACAAACATACGGCCGTTCTCCAGTATGAGTACGAACATGATTGATTAGCTTATCCTTCCACACAAATCCTTTATTACAATGAACACAAGTATAAGGATAATTACCAGTGTGGGTAAACATATGAGTGGTTAATTTATCTTTCTGAATAAAGCCTTTACCACACTGTGAACAAACAAAAGGTCTCTCACCAGTATGCAATCGAACATGTGTGGTCAATTTGTCATTTCGAGCAAAACCTTTGCCACAATGCTTACAAACAAATGGCCGCTCACCTGTATGAATTCTCAAATGAGTAACAAGCTTATCGTTTTGAGCAAAGGCTTTGCCACAGTAATTGCAAGCATAAGGTTTCTCACCAGTATGAACTCTTACATGTTTAATAAGTTTATCCTTCCAAGCAAATCCTTTACCACAATGCTGACAGGTAAAAGGATGCTCTCCAGTGTGAGTACACATATGTGCAATTAATTTATCTTTACGTGCAAATGTTTTGGGGCACTGTGTGCAGGTATGTGGACGTTCTCCAGTATGTATGAGTAAATGTGCATTTAATTTATCTTTACGAGTAAAACCTTTGTTACAGTGATGACAAACATAGGGAGAATCTCCAGTATGCAATTTAACATGATCATTCAGTTTATCCTGATGAGTGAAAGATTTGCTACAATAATTACAAGGAAATAAGACTTCTCCACTCTGAGGATATAAGTGATGTGGTTTCATACCCATGAAATATATATGGCAATGATCAGGTATATGGGCAGGCTGATTAGGAATGCTGATAGTAGGTACTACAGCCATTATGTAGTATAAGATATATCTTTCACTGTAATAAAATGCTAAAACATAAAACAACAATTTATGAATACAGCTTTTCAATGTTCAAACACTGCAACATTTTTTCTAATATAATATAGTACATGTTCATAATTATATATCTAAAAGAAAAATCACAGAATATTTATATAGATACAAATTATAATTTCAAAATAAGATCTCAACACTAGGAAACTACTTATTAATTAGTCCTTAAATTGGATAAGTGATCAATTTACAATTACTTTCATTAAATGGAATAACAAAAATGATAAAAAGAGAAAAATTACACTTGAAGATCGTAGCACATTAATTCTGATCTCTAAAATGCTTGTTTGTACAATATTTTCCTTTAACAGGACAACAATTATGGCGCTATTACCTTTAAATACAAATGATTTATAGGTCATTCACTATTTCATCTCAAATTTCCTTTTGAGTTGTTAAAGCAGCCAGTTCTGAAAATAGGAAATTAATCATTTACAATCTTAACAGTTATATAAAGTAAGAATCACTACTGCGAAGCTGTACATATAAACAGAAAAATTAGAAACAAATACTATAATTTAGGGGTGGAAGAAAGTACTGATATGCTTTACTGCCTTCAGTTTTAAATTAATAGGTACTCATGTATATTTATATTGTTTATACCAATTTACATGCAGACTTTTTCTACACATATATTACTACATTCAGAGGTTGGAAGAGACTAAAAACCTATGATCAAGTATTGCTGTAGAAAAAAGAAACAATTTGAGGCATGGTAATACATAACCTACTACTTGCTGAAAAAAATATCCAAATTAAAAAAATATTTAAAAGATACCTTACAAAATTAAGTTCTCTTCATCTAGAAGAACAAAGTAAAACACTGCTACTTAGCCTCCAAATAAATTCAAGACACAGATATTACATACAAGATTTTACAAGAGCTGAAAATTCAGAAGATAAATGTTATTAAGAGTAATATGCCAATTTTCAGAAATATTAAAAAATCACACATTTTTCCAATTAAAAAAAATAAGCAAAAGAAAACAATAAATCAGGAGCCAATATTATGCAATTTTTGTATTTAACAGATAAACGTGTTCCAAATGGTTAAATCTTCTGTTCATCTAGCTAAAAATTGAGCAAATACAAAACAGTTGCATAAAAAGAAAATTTTTTCTAATTTGTTTGCATCTTATTACATTTATTCTAACTTCAACACCAAAGTGCAAAAACTGGCTGGTTTTTACTCATTATAATTTAAAAACTAAAAAAAAAAAAAAAAAATCATATTTTATAATTATGTCCAAGGGTCCCCTCCCATTTACACAAACATATACATTTTGAGAGCATTTGGGCAATCAAAAAATAGATAGTCTCACATTCTAGATGTAAAAATGTTTTATTCTGTATGTATTGCCACTGCTCACTATGAAATCATTAAAATGTTTTAACCCTCTCGCTGCGCATCCCGCGATTTCCACGGGCAACGTAGAAGTAGCAAAATTTGCGCAACTCGCGATTATTGTGTGGGTGCGATGTTTTTGCCTATTTAAGTTGGTGCAACCCGCTATTTTCCCGTTTATGGTTTCATTTCGGCTTTTCTGTAATGTTTAATTGTTTATTAGATAGATTGCCGACTAACAGATGGCGTTAGTTGTCCACGTTTCTGCGAAATATAAAAAGAATTTTTTTTTTTTTTAGCATTTTGCGCGTGCTTTTCAGAGCTCAAAGATGTCTGGCAGGAAGCGTTTTCGAGTGATATATATGACCTATGTTCCTGACGATATTTCCGACACTGACAGTAGTTCTGACTCTGATTCCGAGTATATTGATGATGATATTATAGCGGAACTGATGAAAATTTCTCGGATTCCTCTGTGGATAGTGATGAATCTGAAAATTCATTTTCTATTCAAAACGCCCGACAGTGGTTGTGCAAAACAGCTCTGCAAACCAGCCTCATTTCCTTTATTGGCAATCCCGGACCAAATTTCACTATGGCAGATGATGTGCAAATGTTTGGATTATTTTGACTTTTTTTTTTTGACTTTTTTTGACGATGTTATGTTGCAAATAATAGTAAAAGAGACCAACAGGTACGCTCAGCAGTATATGAATAGGCAGCAGTTCCTAAAGAAAGATCAAGGTGGAAAAATTGGACAGATACGGATGAGAAAAGAACTTAGATTATTCTTTTCCGTTTGTTTCTCCAAGAGGAATTGTAAAAAAAAGCCTAACAAGAATATTATTGGTCCAAACGTCACATATTGCAAACACCTATTTTCAAACAAGTAATTCAGAAAGATAGATTTATTTTGCTGATGAAGTTCCTTCATTTTACAAATAACGAAGAGTTTGATAAGGATAATCATCCATGGCCAAAATTAAATAAAATTTATGACATCATGGAGCATCTTCGAAAACAAATTTCGAAATCTTTATATACCAGATAAAAATCTCAGCATAGACGAGAGTTTGATGCGCTTCAAGGCAGACTGAGCTGGAAATGTTTCATCGCGAAAAAAAAGAGCAAGATTTGGCCTTAAGTTTTTTTTGTGGTCTGCGAAGTGGGAACTGGATATATTGCAGACTTTCTCATATACACAGGTAATGGAACTGTGTATAACCCGAAATTTGCAAATTATCCAGTTTCCACTAAAATTGTTCTGCAACTGATGGACAGATTCCTGGGCCAAGGTACTGTGTAACCATGGACAATTACTACATGTCTCCAAAGTTAGCAGACATTTTAATTTCAGAAAGAAAAGAACAGACTTATATGGAACTGTAAATAAGATGAGGAAAGACCTTCCTCCAAATTTTGCAAAAAAAAAAATCCCTAAAGGTGACGTCCTTGCTTACCAAAGGGGTAAAGTTATGGCTCTGAAGTGGCAAGATAAAAAAAGTTTTTTTCTTATAAGTACAGTTTCATAATGCAAGTTCCCGTTTGGTGAAATGCAAATCAAAGAAAACTGTACTCAAACCAATTGTTGTTTGTGATTACAACAAACACGATGGGTGGGGTTGATTTATGTGACCAAGAAATGTCATATTACCCCACCCTCAGAAAACAACAAGGGAAATATTATATAAAAATTTTCCGACAATTCATGGACCAATCACTGTGGAATGCTTATATCCTTATAAAAAGGATAACCCATTACAAAATATAACGCTTCTAGATTTCCGTTTGCCAATTATTGAACTAAGCATTCAGAAGTATTCAGATAGAAATTCCAGTGTTCACTCTAGCAGATGTAGTTCAACTCTCAATCCCATGAGGCTAACTGCTTGACATTTTGCTAGCCATATACCCCCAAATCCCATCAAGAAAGAGCCTCGTAGACAGTGTGCTGTCTGTTGTTCCACAAAAAAAAAAAAAAAAAAAAAAAAAAAAAAAAAAAAAAAAAAAAACTGAAAGCGGGAAAAAAATTCGAAAAGAAACACGAATTTGGTGCAAAGATTGCGAGGTCGGACTTTGCCTCGAGCCTTGTTTTGAAATTTATCATACAAAACTTCATTTCTAATAAATGTTTTGTAAGTATTTTGCATATTTTCATTAGTATATACTTTTTACCTTTGTATTTTATAAAATAAATCATAATTTAACCAAAATTGATTTTCAAAATTTTGCTTTTTTAACATTATTCTTCAATTTCAATATTCTGACAACTTTTTTCTATGATCTAATTCTATATTGAAAAAAACTCTTTTACAAAAGATTTTTGTATATTTTAAGTCTAAAATATATGTAGATTTGAAATATGTAATAAAAAAAATACGCAATTTTTGAACCTATTTTGATAAAAAAAAATACGCAGCGAGAGGGTTAATAAAAAAAAAATTCATTGAAGTTTTACAAAACATGAAATAGATAATAATAAAACAAAACTGAAATCCAAAATTCGGGCTTCTAGGTGCTCATATTAAAGTGGAGGACTAAGTTATTCAAACTTTGATGCCTCTAGGTACCGTTGTTTTTTATTTCAAGAGAAACAAATATACATTCATGCAGATTTTTCACTATTTAATTTCTTTAAATATAATACAGGGGGAAACAACAATTTGGAAAGTGACCATATTTGTCATTTTTAGTGTTTTAAAAAATTAAAACATTCCCACTAAGATAATTCTGCAGTAACAGAAATGATGAGAATGACTTTCACAACATTCGAGGGGGGGGGAAGCATCAAGGAAAATATATATCTATTTAAAGACAGACTTGCAGTTATATGATCAAAATATTAATGCTCAGAAATCTTGTTTCCACAATATATTTATCTGTCTTATTTCCAATTATATCTAACAATTAGCATTCCCTACTTTTAATTAAAATCACCCTGTATTATTTATGTGCAACATGTTTAAAACTATGTAAATGATATCAGGAATTTGAAAGAGAAACATCTGAATCAACTTAAATTCAATTCAAAATTTGAGCTTTTCATACAAGTACCATATTTTCTAGCACATAAATTTCAAGCTACACTTTTTAGGTATATTGATCATATAATGCGCACCCATTTCTTCACGAAGAAACCTAAAAGATACATGTGCAATGGCTCTTATCTTCTGAGGTCACTTATTCAAACATTTGTCTTAGCCTTTCGAACAATGGTAAACCACACTGACAAGCAATATGGAGAACAATATGTGTGCGGGTTAAATGCTTGAGGGAGTAAATATTCTGGCAAAGAGGGTGGATTGTATTCAATGCAGTTGTCCAAAAGAATGCTACTGTAGAGCACTTCCCACCTGAATGAATTCGTGGATTTAGGAGTTAGATGTTTTCTCTTCCTGTAGTCATTTAAAGCCAAGATTTTGAAGTGAAAATCGAAGGCTTCAGTAAATCGCATTTGCTTTAGTTGAAATAGAGTTGTTTTAGTGCTCTTTTTAGTAGTAAATATGGCTCCCACAAAAAGAAAAACACAGTGCTGGTTTTAAACGCAAAGCCATTCATTTTGCGAAAGAAAATGGAAATCATGCTGCAGCAAGAGTTTTGGTGTTGCCAAAAAGATGGAATGGATAATGATTATTTATTTATGGATCAAAATACCAATGATGATGAAGATGAAAACAAAATTCAATGATATGCCAGAAGATATATCAAAAGATGAACTCTTCATGTTATCCAATAATAAAAATGTTTAATTTCATAAAGTATGTCATTTCTTTTAAATCAGCAACATTTTGATGCATGTAAAAAATCTACTTTCCCCCCTTATTTTTAAGTTATTATTTTCATATCCAGCATATAACGCACACTCGTAAATTTCAGTTCTATTTTTTTTTAATAAAAGTACATGTTATACGCCGGAATATACAGTATTTACATTACAAATGTAACTGCATTTAGATTCAGGTCCTATCTAAAGAACAAGGGAAATGTTACTGTAGCTAATGCTGCTACTTTAGAGGCTGGTTTTCCCCCCTTTTCTTTTAGAAAGATTAAAATATTCGTGCTCAA